CCTTCTGCGAGAAGCTGTTCAAGTAATTTTGTAATTGCTTTATTTTGCAAACTGTACATTTTGGTAATTTAGAGGGCGAACGGTGCCATTTGGTAAGGTTTAGAACTATGATTCAACTAGTCAAAATTCTAATTTCAAGAGGAAACCATTGGTGTGGTTTTTTTTTTTTTCAGAAATCGAAGGGGGGGTCCGTCCCCCCCCCCCCATATCCGCCACTGCATACACACGCGCGCAACAAGACTTAGTTACAAATGTTGATTACATCCGCAATTAACTGAATGGATAGACATTTTACCCTCATTGCGAGCACTATTATCCTGTCTAACATCTAAGCTGAACTAATAAATCATGATAAAAAATTTATTGTTCGATCATAGGCAGAAGCCAAATCTACATAACATATGAGAGAGAGAGAGAGAGAGAGAGAGAGAGAGAGAATCAATTTAAAGTACTTTTAACAATTCCAATTTCAAATTTCAAATCAAACTCATTAGTAGTATGTTAAGTTGTAGTAATGCAACAAACTTTATGCTGATCACTTCGTAATGATATCATCAATAAATAACATTCAAATATTTTAAGCGGCCAATTCAATTATCAAAAGGGGATTTCATTTGTTGTATATACTTGAATATTGAGCAATGATGAGGCAGCAAAGCATCTACTAGTACGTCATCAGTAGTATCACGAGCGTCACGCTTTTCCCCATTTTTATTTAATTTGTACTTTATCAATAAAAACAAGTATCATATGAAATCAGTCATATTAAATTAGAATGGTGACATCATCAGAATCTGGGTCAAATCGTCCGTTAAATGAATAAGAACTACTCCTCCTGGTAACACTCGTTCACGTTGACTGGCTTGTCGCAGATGCTCTTCTTCTCGTTGAAGACGGTGCCTTCCGGACACTGACTGAACAACACGTGGTCGTACACCAGATGCTTGTACGTGATCGATTTACACACGTAAAACCGGCCGCAGCTGGACGGGTCGCGGTGGGCCACCCCGTGGTCTGAGCACAAGACCCGCAGTTTGCCTGAGGAAAGAAAATATTGTTAATCAGTTTGACTTATGGGCGTTGTTTTGGTCGTGTAAGACCTGTTAGTAGAATTAATCTTTTTATTCTGGAGTTGACCCAAATTAATTTGAAGTAGCATTTTTAATGACAAAATTGGTATCTATTGGTAAATTGTACAAAGCGTATTTACTAATTTTAATTTATCTTAAAAGATAAATGAAACACATTTCAATGGGAATCGTTGGGTCGTCGGGTGCATCATTTGTGTAAACTGACAAATTAAAACAGTTTCATGTCAGACCTACTCAAAGAAGAAAACATTACCCATGATTAAAACAGTCAGCACAGCAAGTGCAAATCGGTTTTATTAAAAGGTAGCAAATACCCCCCCCCCCCCCCCCACCATTACACAGACCCTTATTTGTCACCTTAACATATACTATTTGGTGGTAGTTTCTTTAGTTAAAACTATGCCGGATGCCGTCTAATAGGTCATGACATATATGAAGGTTTACACAGGCAGTGCGCGCTGTCTCCGGCAGACACGGATCTGCAGCATATAATGAAAAGAAAACAAGCAGCATGTAGGCCCTACATTGGGATTGGCGTGGCACATGGGCCGATGTTTCATTATAAACACAGGTGGTTGGTTTGTTCTAGTTCAACGGTCTTTTACTAATTGTTGTTGGAGAGCTAAAAATATGGATGCAACTGATAAATTCGCTTTTTTGTTGTTAGTGATGCTACATTACTTATGGTAATATTAATACTTTTTATATTACTGCGTTCTTTGTTTTTGTATGGTCTCAATTAAAGAAATGACTGGCTGCTTATATTACATTAAGAAAAAAACAGTGTCAAATCTAGACTTTTCGTAGAATTTTCGGAAAGAAAAATTACTCGCAATTAGGTGCATAATCTATGCTGGGTTAATACAGATTCTTAATTTCCATGACTCGGAGAAGGGATCTGGTATCTGGTTCTAAAAACAGATGTTTTTTTTATATATAAAAATAATAGAATACAGCAACTTTAAGTGTGTGTGTGTGTGTGTGTGTGTGTGTGTGTGTGTGGTCGCGTGTGTCGTTTGGGGTGGGATGGGGATGGGGTAAAATAATTATGGGTTAGACTTTTCATGAAAATCACCTTCGCATGGGTGATTTGTACAGGTGAGTTCCACGCGTTCTTCTTCGTCCTTCCCACACCAACACATGTTGCCGCACAGGTCTGAGCCGAACGCGTCCACGCCGTCGTACTCCGCGGGGTTGGCGCACACCCTGAACTGCTCATCCGGGTCCTCGAATATAGGCTCCGAGCTGAATTAGAAAAAAATACTTAATTGGTCATACTTAACTTAAATGACATACTGATATCTCTTAATATGCAAAATAAATATCCACGGAAAATTCCAGAATTTTCTCCTTTTCACCAAGTGAAGCCCTATCCAAAAACCGTACGGAGAATATTATAATCTACAGGGGTATAAACCCGATCTCGATTTCTAAATGAATCTAACGCTCTCTGTGTGTCTCTAAATTTGACCGTCAAATAATAAGGTTTTCCGTTGACTTTGTTGTCCAAGTAGTTACATAATACATATAAGCTTCGTTTTAAAAATATGAATACCAAAAATGCATTGTTTTCTCTTGAATACAAATGTAAAATTAATGAAATAAACGCACGCTGTTAACGTACAGGTAACGAAAAACGTGTGGTAAAGCAGTAATTTGGAGAGCTTATCCAGTAAATTAATTGCTCAATTAATTACAAAATTTGCTAATGATATAAGTCGGAGTGTCTGAACGGCGAACAGTAGGCCTATCTTGTATGCAAGATACACAAGTGCAGGGAAGACACCAAAGCTATCACTGTTGACTATAGAATGAGAATTGTTACACCTGTCTCCCAACTGATAAAATTGGAATTCCGTGGCAAATCTTACTGCCACAGCGTCGTAGAAATGTAATCACCTTATAACGCAGACGAAATGTTAGCTTCTCAATCCCAAAACAGGCCTTGAAATAACACACCACACTTCTATCCACTACAGCTATAAGAAATTTGGGTTGTCTCTACTAATACCTACCTTCCTAAAACACGGGGAATGGCAACAAATGCCAACGAAATCAAGAAACACGCAGTTACTTTCGCCATTGCCTTGGTCTGTCACGTAGCTGGTTCGCAACAATAGGTCGTGTGTTCCTAACTATAGATCCCACACAATATATGAGAGGTAATTTTGCCGTTTAGCCTTATATCCCCGCCTTGCTGTTCGGAACTGCCACAAACTAGCTGCCGGAAATCCAGCCAATTGGAAACAGGATATTTCACCCATGCCGATTGATTAATGTCATGACGTCACCATGTTTTTAAACAGCTCCAGTTGAGTAAACCTTCGAATAATTTGATTTCGATTTATTGTGCTTCCTTGAATCAAATTCAAATTGCGCACACAGTGTTGGCTGTAAAAGTACACATATAAACCCAAGCTACATGTACTTTTCACTGTACATTACTCGAGTAAGAAGCTCATTTTTAGTGTGTGTGGGTGGGTGGGGGGGGGGGAACTGTTGTGAAAAAAAAAAAAAGCGAAAGGTGGGAATAAAGACCCGTCCTCTACCTAATGCATAAATAACTGGCATAGTTAAAAATGCAAGGGTAGTGGGGGGGGGGGGGGGGAGGTAAGACACCCCCAGCTATGAATGTACAGGATTAATAGCAATTTTGTTCGATTGTGCTTTAATTTTCTGTCCTTCATCCAATACATTGGTAGCGCATCTGTCAAAATGCTACTGCAATTCACATGGCGGTCCCCGTGATTTCAGTTGTACTGTATATACGTCACTGCCAGTTGGTGTGATATTAAGGTCATTCTAACTTAAGGAATCTATGCATGATCAAAGTTTTTATATTTTACACTGAAATTTATATTGTTAAGAATGATTTAGAAATTATAAATTTTTGATAAATCAGTGAATTAGACCACCTTTAATAATATTGCTTATCAAGAACTATAGCTTTTTTTGCGAACATATTTATATTTTGACATCACCAAATCCCATTATATGCAATTTGCATACGGGGTGTGCTTGACGTTGAAACAAATATTGCAATATCGGATTAATCAGTGAATCCTTTATGAGATAGAACAATATTTTCAAAAGCCTATAATGAAGTAAGTGACTGGTGCAGATTAAATTCTTATTTATTAATCTGTTAAACTGGTTGCATTCAGCTAGAGCCGCAGCGGAGTTGGATCGATCTAAGTAGACCGATAGTTTCAATGGGAATGAGCCCTTATCTATTCACGCACTTGAAAACAGAAGTGTCTCACAGCAAAAGTAAGCCAGGGACACTTTTAACTGAGCGAAGTGCAAATGCAAACTAAAACAAGTGCATTCATAATAACAAAAGCATAATGAAGTATAAGCAATGCATAATTATCCTTAAAATGTATCTTTAGGGGAGGAAATATGCAGTGTGAATTTCCATGTCGAGATAGAGAAGGAAAGATCGCTCCTCTCGTGTTACGCGGCCCTTGTCTACCTGAGTAAAACAATGTGGGCTACTTCACCGCCACGACCCCAGCTGTCCGGGGTGGTACTCAGATGTATATTTTATCGCACATCTTTTGTGATTAAAAATTCAATTTACCCATACGACACAAGCAGTTTTATTTTAGCTAAGAGTGTTATTGAAAGAACACTTGACATTGAGGAAATAAAGGTGTGCACGATAGCCCTGTGTCTGTGCACCGCAGCTACCGGAAGGTAAAATAGGAAAAGAGAGAAAATAGAAGGAAATAGTGAAAAACTTAACAATACAAAAACCGACACCCTTCCAAAACATTCCCACAAAATATACAAAAACTATGGACCCCTCACATCTTCATAAGAGAATTCCCGATGTGGTTTAAAATGCGGTAAATAAAATCAAATATTCATATTTTGCGTTAATCCATCAAATGATTTGTGTCTTTGTGTGAAACGCCGAGCTGTCTTTGTGTTACTGCCTTACAAAATACAATATATCCTAGCAAATGCGAACAGGCTTACGTTGTGGAGACACATACGTATATCATAAGTGCTATCTGTCTAAATTGTAACAATAAATCTGGCTATAATATTTTAACTTGGGGACGGTTTCACAAAATAACTTAAGTCCGAAAATTGGTCTTAACTTTTAGACGGGAAGTTACCGAGTAGGCTACTTCAGTTATATTAGTCCACTAAGACAAAGTAAGTATTGGTCTGAAATATGAGCAGTTGTTTCTTGCTGTAAAACAGGCAAACAATTGCGTTTTATTTGGACTTTATTTGAACCACTGCTGGTTAATTTCAGTTCAAAGAAGACTACAATGTTGCTGTAAAAGTTTGAACCAGTTTTCGGGTACAAGTTATTTTGTGAAAGAGGCCCCAATAGTACATACATGTAAATATTGCGCAAAAAGGCGTTACCTCGCATTTGATTAAAAACGCCCCGTGATGATCGGGCTCTCTATCGGATAGAATTAAGCATTACCTATTGTGCTGTTTAAGTAGTATCAGACGCAGATAGCACTAGACTAGATCTGATTTAAATAAAAGCTGTTTGATTTAAAGTTCCCCGTGTGGTTAGTGACTTTCGCTTGGAATATTTTTATAATAGATATTGCGGATTCTTTTATGTCATAACACATACGTGTAGCAACATACTGTTGGAAGGAAAAATGTGCTTCACATCTCTTTATCTAAGAACACTTTAACGGGATATATCATTTCAAAAGCGTCCCCATGCGGTTAGCGGTTTTTGCCTGGAATAACTTAGTGGTCGCAGATTAAAACTGTGTAAGATTAGCAAGGGTTTCTTTGGTGCGGGGTTTATTCGACTCTTCAATCCCTCAAAATGTTTCAAACAAAGGGATATGTATATTGGTGAAATTTACGTGTTCTGTTCAGTGAACCTCTGATATTTACCAGTACAGGGAATTGAACAACAAACAAAAGTGATGTGCGACATCGAAATCAAGGTAGCAAATCGGCGAATTTACTTCTTATTTCTCATTTTTTGTCTTAAAATAAATAATAAATTAATAGAATGAAACAAATGAGATTAAGAACAATAAAAATGGTTGTGCTATCTTATCAGTATAGGCCTACATGTAGCTGTTACATACGGCATGCAGCTTGTTTAACCAACTTGACTGTGTTTGATACAGTTGGAAACAAACTCGAGCCATGGACATAATGGACATAATTATGTCCATGCTCAAGCATAGATGCAAATTAATCACATTATGGTATATCATTTGATGGCTTCGTTATAAAAATGATGAACCATATTGGGAGAATGTGGCCTATCTGCTGTGTATAGGTCTTGTTACTCATTCTAGTTATCTGTGACGTCACATACGAGGAGGCGTGACGATGCGACCGCAATCAAAATAGCCAAAGTCAACGAGCTGATGATAAAAGTACATCCCTTTTACCTTTTTTAAATTATTCAAAAATGTCTTGACCACACTGAATTCGAATCTGGAGACAATTTGCGCAATTGTTACGCGCAGGTAATATGATACGACAACACACTACTAGCTTCACAACCAATAGTTCCATAAACTTCGTCCACTCTTGACATTGAATTAACCCCGCCCAATAAAGCACGCGTCCCTACTTCCTTATGTACTTTCAGTCGGTAACATGGTGCTTGAGGTCTGGAGTGTTTACGTAGACATACAGAACGGCGCTATATATCATTTATAAGTAAATGTTTCGTTAAAAAAATTAGTCCGCTCTCCTATGCCTGCACTCCATTAATATGGGACCGAAATCTACTGATGCAATGGATCAGCACTCGTTAACAAATTTGGAAACATTTAATTTCCTTTCTACTGGTAAAGAAAACCCCCATAGCTTTGTCTGGTATTTCTGTTCTATCCTTGTCCAGTAACACATCTCAAACGAGAACTCCACAAAGAAATAACCGATAAAAAAGTAACTTTGCAATTACGCCAAGGGTAAACGTGATGTGTTTTGTTTCGCGCCAAAATCCGACTAACTGTCTCTACACGATTATGAGTGACACTGGGTGCAATCCATGCATTAATTACTGTCACTTACTCAGAGATGACATCTCCGACACACCTTAAATATGAACTAGTTTGAAATATGAACAAAACCCCATTAATGACATCACGACTACATGTATATAGGAGCGTGGTCATGCGGATCACTCTTCAGCTCTGCGCCTTCTCCCACTGGTGATTCTGAACCAAAAAATTCTACGCTGAGATTTGTGCTTATCTTGTGATTTATTTTAAGTTATTAAAAGTAGAATGGGGTACATTCAGATATTCATATTCGGAATAGTAGCATTTTGGTGCTTTGGCGCAGTGGCCTGCCAGACCTGTTCCCCTGTGGATGACACACAGAAAAAAGATTCAAGCGCAGGTAAATATTATCTTCTCTACTTAAAGGAAAAGTGGGAGATTTATCTTTTTTCGACTTTTACCATAATATAAATTGAATTCCACCTTTACCATGTACATGTACGTAGAGAAGTTGTAGTCTACGAGACATATAAACGCGTCCAAATTTCGAATCAAGGAATTAGGCTCGTAATAAGAGGAAATGTAATTTTTTAGACGGGGCATACAAAAAGATGATCTGGCAAGGAAAACGAGCTTAGATACAGTGTCATGAATTTGAAGTCTTCTCTTGGCATAAAAAGAACGTTTGTTTTCGTGGAGCATCTCTCCTCCATATTTCACTGCGCAAGATATTTTTCAGTAAGGATTGAGTAAAGTGGGCTTACATCTTCCATAATAATAATAATAATAAAGGTTTATTGTGTTCTTTGCAATATATAAGAAATATATTGAATGTATATGTATAAGAGTATAAAGATGTAGTACTAAAAAAGAGCTTTAAGATAAATTCTAAGTTATAAAACCAATAATGAGGTTAAAAATGGTGATTCGTTGTTATTTTCAAAAGCTAAAAGTTCATGGATAGACCTTGATCATTGACATGAAGTTATAAAACCAATAATGAGGTTAAAAATGGTGATTCGTTGTTATTTTCAAAAGCTAAAAGTTCATGGATAGACCTTGATCATTGACACGTATATAAACAGTATGGGATAAAAGTGTTTCTATATCTTTTTGTCCGACATTTTGGTAAAACATATCTATAAACATTCCTTAGGTCCTTTTCTATGACACGAGTGTTAGGTAAAAGATGGTTTAATCTGTGTGTACACAGTTTTATCTCATTAAATAATTTTTTGCATAAGTCAGTACGCCGAGATTTCAAGGTAGGTAATTCAGTGATGTCCATTGCTTCGTTGTAAGTGAGTTCAGGGTATATAATATGAAGAGCCCTTTTTTGGATGTTCTCTAAGGCTTTAGATTGCTGTGCGGTAATTCCAGCATGCCATAGCTGACAAGTGTACTCAAGCGTTGGTCTGAGATTGCTTTTATAAATTTGTAAGAGGTCATGTCTCGGCACCCCAGCGTGTTTGACCATGCATAAGAAATACAGTCTGGATGCAGCTTTTGAGAGAATTTTTTCTATATGTAAGTCACATTTCAAATTAGAACTGATATGAACCCCCAGCAGTTTGGCATGTGAAACTTGTTCGATTTTTATACCATCAATTATAAGGTTATCAGTTACAGTAGGGTTTTTACTGAAACAGATAAACAGTTCAACAGTTTTTTTAGGATTAATTAGCATGTTATTTTGTTTTGTCCATTCATATAGGTTTGAGGCTGCTATGGCAAGTTTAGATTGTGTAGGTTTGGCACCTTGTTCTATTTCCCTTGGAGATGGTTGGTGAACTGTCTCATAAACTGTAGTGTCATCCACATATTTTACTGCTGGTAAAAAACATTCCATGTCATTTATCATTGAAATGAAAAGGAGAGGTCCTAATTTTGTACCCTGGGGCACGCCCCCATGAATATGGCACCATTGTGACATTACTGATCCACACTTGATCCGTTGCTGTCTATTTAGTAAAAAGGCATGGACCCATCTGAGTAATACTGGAGGTACTCCATAGCTGCAAAGCTTGCCTAGCAAAATATTGTGGTCTATTAAATCAAACGCTTTTCTAAAATCAAGTAATAAAACCCGAGACTGTGCCCCATGAGTGTCACTGGCCTTGGCCCAGGTGTCAAATAGCTCGATTAAGGCCATTGTGGTGGAGGAACCTTTAACATTGCCAAACTGATCTTTCTTAATATGTGGTCCTAGTATCTCCCACAGCCATGTAAAAATGAATGCTTCCAATTCCTTGCTGAGGATAGGTGTTAGGGAAACAGGTCTTAAATCATTTTCCACGCTCAGTGCTGGTTTAATTTTAGGCAGTGGCACTACATTGGCACATTTCCAGATTGTTGGTAGCTTTCCTTGACGTATGGTATTGTTCCAGATTGCACATACTGGTGCACCGAGAACTCCAGCAAAGTCTTTGAGAATCCAGTTCGGTATATTATCAGGACCGGATGCCTTGTTTGTGTTAATATTAATGAGAGATCTTTCCACTTGTTCTACTGTGAGCTGGTACTGTGAGGGAATGTTAACATCATGGAAGTCCATCTCATCTAAGGGGTCTAGGTGAGAAGTAATGGACTGGAAGAAGTTGTTGATGTTTTGTGCAAGTGCTTCCATATCCCCCTCATGGAGATGGTTGGCCATGGTGGTCAGAGAGGCACTGTTTTGAGATTTACCCATGATGTTATTGATACATTTCCACCATTTCCCTGGGTCTGACGATTTTGCCTCTTCAATCTAAGTTCTGTAGTAGACCGTTTGTAACCGTTTGCGTTCTTGGTTTACTTTGTTTCTAAGGTTTCTAAATTCAGGGTCCTTCAGTTGAAAGGCACGCTGGCGTTGGATGATTAGGTCACGAAACTCATCTGTCACCCAAGGCTTGTCATGTGTACTCCTTGTCACAACCTTGGTGGGGAAGTGAGTTTCTCTTAAGTTATGCAGGGTCTGATAAAACATATCACATTGCTGATGGACACAGTCACTGTGGTATAGTTCATCCCAGTGGATGTTTTGAATGGCATCTGCGAAACTAGTTCGTTTTGAAAGTGGGTATTTTCGGACAGTCACGTTACATTTCCTGGCTGATTGTAACATTTGTGATGCGACAGGTTTCACTAAGATGGTTTCATGTTTAGACAAGCCAATAGGAGACAAATGGACCATGCATGACACTGGAATGTCTATAAACATTTCGTCACCGACTGCATTTAATTCTGCTTGATTTTTTTCCCGTAGATACACCCTTTTCTAGTTCCCAGTTTTTTATTGTTAATTCGCCTGGCTGTCTGGAAAAGAGAAACTGTTTTACCGATTCTGTATTATGCCAAGTCGCCTGACCATTTACAAAACGTTAAAACCATTATCGTAGATACAAACAGAAAGCAAAAATTAAAAAAAAAATGACCTTGTGCCATTTTGGAGTATCTTTAAGGATGAACGATTTCTACATTTTAATAAACAAACTTTCTAATGTTAATTAAGAAAATTCTTTTCATTTTGCGTCTTGCAGAGTTCTTATGTCCAGGAAAATGGGGTTACTATGAGCATGCGGATTGCACCAAGTATATCATGTGTTCCTGGGGAGCAGCGCACACGATGCCGTGTCCAAAATCGCTCGTCTGGGACCAGGTTGCTCTCACCTGTAACTATCGCAGAGCTTTGCCGTCTAACCATAGATGCAAACACGGCCCGCCCCAGGAGGACCCCGAGCCAACAGGTTAGGAAGGTTCCACCCCGCAAACACAGAACGTTTTATTACGTTAAAATATCGTTATCAGATCGTTTTTTTGGGATATATAAACGTTATGGTAACATTATAATAACGTTCTGTTTTTGCTGGGTATGTCTTTAAAATTTCTCTCCCTCTCCGTTGTATCTCTGTTCATCTGACTTTGTGTTCGGTCAGTGTGAGTGGAAGTGATGCCATTGAAAATAGGCATTAGTTTGTGTGTGTGTGTGTGTGTGTCTGTGTGTGTGTGTGTGTGTGTGTGTGAATGAGAGAGAGAGAGAGTTCTCATGCGTGTGCCTCTTCTTATCCGTGGACATGTAACTTTTTAAATAGATGTTGATTGTAGCATTTGAAGCCTTTATGGTGACAAATGTTACGCACAGCCCTTCCCCTACAGGAAAAATCAATAATTATGAGAAATACATCATCAGAGATTAGAATCGAAAACACGTTATTGGCGTCACAAATTAATTACATGTGCTCTTTGGATGGATGGGCGTATCTTAATGAAATTCCAACTCTTGACATTTCAAGGGCACTTTCCTAATTTATGAATTATAATACCATTTGTCGGGGACGAGATTTGGTTGACGTATTTAGCAACCGATGTAATGAGTGACTTTATCTGGAAATCGCTTTGTGCGATCCCACTTGAAGGTTAGTACCTGTGACCTCTCTGGCCAGTGTAAAGACAGTGATGGTCCACGTTTTAAAGGGGGCATCACGATCGTCCGAAGATTCATTGGTCCGAAAAATCGTTTGTTCGCGCCTCTGATGAACTTTACTTTATTGCCAGTAAACTGTACACTTTATTTATGCATTTATTCGGACTATGGAACCTTCGGACTATTTACAAACAGTCCGCTGTGCATCAAATTCGCTCAGGCAAAGGTTAGCGTGACGTAAGGGGGGGGGGGGGGGCGAAGCTTACCTGTAGAAGTCAATAGGAACTCTCTATCACTGAACTCTCTATCACTTGGGCCTCTGTCATACAGGGCAGACAGAAAATGAAGGTTAAACTAAACACATAAATTCGTAAAGCTTTGGAATATGGTATTTGCCCTGGGATGCTTTTATGTCAGTTGTGACGTCAATGCAACATGTACTAGTATATGCATGTAAGAGGGTCCCACTGGGGGGAAGGTCGTGATCACAGATCACGGGAAATATAATCATCAATTCACACATGAAAGTAAATAAAATTTATTCATATCTAATTGAAAAAACAGGTTATACTAGTTGAAAATCACCATTCACTTCGTTTTTCGAATAACGAAAAATTAAAAGCTGCATTCACTAGTCGCGGTTATTTCACGCATCTCGGGGAAATGAAAAGTAGCTTTCACGGGTAACGAAAATACCCAGTGGGACCCTCATATTAATGAACAGGTGCTTTCACTGTTGCTAAGGCATCATTCAGTGTATCGCACTTTTAAGAGAACATCAGTTTTGACACATAAACAACCTTGGCATCTGTCACTCAAAAACACGCGCTTTTTACGAAATATAGGTTTGTGCATGAGAAATATTATAGAGTAAAGTAAAGAAAATGTCATGAGTATCTCAGTTAGGTGCAAAATATTTTGTATCATTTGTACCTCTAGGTTTTTAATGGGTGAAGAGGCGAAGTTTTTTTGTCGAGTTTGGCGAGGCGTATTAAAGCAGTGGATGAGAACCATTTTACTGAAATTTGTATAGCAGAGGGATTCATTTATATATATATGTATGTTAATTTTTTTTTTGGGGGGGGGGGGCTGTCGGCGAAGCATCTAAGGAGGGAAAGTGTCCCACTCACCCTTACGTTAGTCTCATTCATTACACACGGATGATACAGATACTTTTTTGTTGTTTTTTTAGGTATGTGCAGCCAGCCTTTCCATCTACATGACAACAGGTGCTATTTCATAAATACGCCGTCAATACAGCTAGGATGGGAGAAAGCCAGACAACTATGCAGTTATTTCCAGGCTGACTTGGTCGCCATAGAAACGAGAACAGAGCACGAGTATCTCAAGACAAGGATCCGGGAAATGCAGGGTGAGTGTGTCCAACATCGAGACGTCCGCTCTTAGCTCCATCTTTTTGTTGCAAGAACACGTTGCTTTGAGGGGTACATTTAGACGAGCTCTATTTTGGAACGAGCATCAGGTTCACTTGCGTCAGTGATGTTTGCTTAAAATGATAATGGGTCCGAAGCTAGGACATAATTTTTTATTTATGAAATATACAAAGTTTTTCTGGGTCTGTCTCTCTCGTTCTCTCTCTCTCTCTTTCTCTCTCACATACGCACGCACGCACACACACAAACACGTCCTTGACTATGCAATTTCAACATGTAACCGCAATGTAATATTTTACATTTGCTTCACCTAGAAAATCAGGTTTTTTCCGGCTCTTGCTGTGGGGACTATTGGACGTCAAGCAGCATGAAGGGCCGAAACTGGTGGACTAGTGGTAAATTAGTGAACGGCGAGTGGGTGTGGACTGCCACCGGTGCCACGATAAACAGCGAGTACTGGGGCTTTGCCGATGGTGAGCCAAATCAAGTACCAGTAGGAGAGGCTGCATCTTGTGTTGGATTATACGTACCGGATTACGACTTTCATGACGTCATGTGTAACGTCACTTCTTATTGCGAGTACCACGGATACATATGTGAGAAAGGCATGACTTACTTGTAAACATTCAGACTCGTTATAAATTGACATTTAGACATCCATGATCAAAGAAACAGTTTCTCAAGAATTTTAGAATAAGTGGTACGTGTATGTGGTTTGACGGTGTAAAGAAATTTGTGAAACAAACCTACATCTACTAGTACGTTTTAGAATGAGAAGCTTCAAAACCATTTTAAATGGGTTGTACATGTATTTGCATACCATTTGTCAACGTGTAGTCAACATTGCTAACTACGGGATATCGTCTGTATGCAGCCTTCGGCATTGAGCTTTGGAAGAACGAGTAGAACATAGCGGTTGCCGATCAACTTGGGAATTTTGTATGTAATATGTCTTGACAGAATACACCCAAAACTTAAATCCTTTTCTACAAAGGTTAGCTTACGATGGAAATTTTATTTTAACGAGTTTCGTCGTATTGTATTTGTCTGAATATCGCTGTGTTATTTTAACAAAACGTCATCTTGGTGCGAAATTTGTGACCTAATGAATTATTCTGTGAGGCGTGGTAATTAAAATCTTTTATAAAAAAGTAACCAGTCGCATACAGAGAATGTACAAATACACAGAACATATAAAAGTGCAATTACCCGGTATGTTTATTTAAAACTTTCTGAACTCAGCTTGATATCTAAATTTGTTCAACTTTAAAATTTGAATAAAGATACTACTACTACTACTATTATACTGCTACTACATATACTACTACTACTACTACTATGATACTGCTACTACATATACTACTACTACTACTACTACTACATGCACTACTGGACAATAGAAGTGCCATGTGCCGCTACTGAACCAATACTTTGGGGGAGATAAATGACTGTGGAATGATATGCTCCTGGTATCATTTTGTTAACATCAAATTTCACAAAAAGACCAACAATATAATTCCATGATACAGCAGTTTTATAGGCCCTACTCATTAGTCACATTATAAGTAGACCAGGCATTATAACTACTCAAGATCTACCTACTTTGATTATTCTGATTCAGGGGGTGACACTTCTATTGTCCATTGTGTGTACTAGCTGTTACTATTACTACTACGTCTACTACTACTACTACTACTACTACAACTACATCTACTACTACTTGTTCAGAATGCGATGAAAGACGGATGGGGTGATGGTGTATTGCGTTGATAATGGGCCTAAGCAGCAGGGACGGTTATTTCACCGTAAGCTAAAAATACTTCAATTGTAGAACATATAGAATGTTTCTAGCGTTCAGGCTATCTTTTATAAATTATATTGCGTACGTGTTATAATAAGTGAATGTAATCTAAGTGATAAATCCATCTATCTCTGCAAAATGGAAGCACGTAAAGATGAGAAAATATGCACAGTATATATATGATATGTGAACATTGTTTTTTTTTTCAATGATCTAGTTAGACCAATGTTCCTTCTGTATACTCTGTCTTAATGGGCATTATAATTGATTTGCCTTCATGCCTTCATGATGTGTGCCATTGTCAAAGAATACCAGTATGAGAATATGATAAACGAAACTAGGTACTACAATGGGAACTTAGTGCCCTTTAAGTTAATGGTGAATTAAACGACTCTATGATGGTTCATTCATTCATTCATTCAATTCACGCCTATTTCAAAGATCAGTAAAGGAACATACCAAACCAAGACAAAGCAACAGTTCATCGCCACTGAACACATTTATATAGTTTGATATTTAATTTGAAACCTCTCAAAGCATTTATGTACTAGTCTAGAATATCCTAATACAGCACTATAGAGAACATTACACCACAGCACATTGTCATTCAAAACGATACAACGCAATCCTCCCTACACGTAGCAGAGCAATCGTAACAAGAACCGCTTCAGGGCACTACAATAGGGCTTGATAAGGATATACAGTATTGGCACGGATGTTGATAAATGGCAAATAGATATCGATCTTCATAATCATCATCATCATAACTTGTATTTTACACCCTTTCATTTGCGCCTCTTCAACATGCAGGCCCCGGTTTCATACAAAATCTTAAGGCAGGTTCCCTGACTAAGAATTAAATTTCAAAGGTAACAAGGTCACTAGGTCACATGAGCACATCTTACCCTATCAGGAGAAATGTAACAGCACTCTCACGGGAATCCTAGTAAACAAAGCCAGGGAAATAACAAGTTTTTTTGTGAAATTGGGGCCAGGTTTCTTGGCTAAGAACTTTATTACCAAGGTAACATGATCACATGGGCACATCTCACCCTATCAGGAACAGTGCAACAGCACTCTCATGGAAATCCTAATCAACTAAGTCAGGGAACTGACTTGAGTTTTTTTTTGTGAAACTGGGGCCAGGTTATCCGGCTTGCTCCACGGCTGTTCCTCACCTCTCCCAAATAACAGAAAAAATAGTGCGCCAAAACAGTAGACCCCACAACTTATAAAGAGAACCCGCTGCCACTCTTCTTTTGTACCCTAGATAGAAGAGATAAACACGTTATATATCACTGCTGTAATTAAAATACAATACGAAAAAAGTTGTTTTAAAAAATAACACGTAAATGACAAATCGAAAAGAAGGTCAAATTCACAAAGCTGATGTTGGTATGGAAGACACGGAGACACCGTTAGTAACATAAGACTTACATTAGGCGTAAGAGCACTAACCACACTGGGAGAGATTATGCCCGGGAGAGCAGAAACAGTGTTGGCGATACCGAATAATTCACCAGCAAACCTGCATCAAAATGCATTAAAATTCCATACGTATTTATTAAATGGAATGCACATATTTACAAGCACAAAGTGATGTTTGCGGTATTGCAGTATTTTATACATCTTAATCTGACTAAATTTTATTCTAAACAAAATTTAGTTAAACTAAGTCTGAAAGATTCGTTTCATAATAAAGTGTCCAGTAGTCACGTAAGGCTAAAGTTCGGCTTCTTTAGACTAAAAGCATCACACCTTGGAGCGATGTCTACATGGTTAATCTGGTTTCCTGCTATGTCACCCGTTGAGAAGGCAACTGCCAGAGTTATAAAGGCCACGCCCGCCATTCTGGTGTCACGGTCTACAAAAGCTGTGGCAAACATGAAGACAGCAGGCAAAAATCCGCCTGGAAAAATAACTATACAGTGTAGCTAACCTATTACGGTAATAGGGGAGACCGGGGCTAGTTGGACCCCGGGATAAGTTGGCCCCCCGTCAATTTATGAAAAAGTAACTACGAGGTAAAAAAATTGGCCACATCTTCTTGTAAAGCGACCGTAGCCTACAATGCTTTAGGGAAATGTCGGACGTTAAAAAGTTTTACTTAAGCGGTGAATCGAAATAAACGATTTTTGCACCTAAATGTAATTTTGTTTGAGAGATTTAAAAATCTATTTTCATGGGCTTTTGATCGAATATAATATATGTATCAAGTTTCACAGAGATGTATCATCGTTGCTAATTCTAGCACCATAAATGGCTGTCATCCTTTAAAATAAAAAGTGTGCACCAGGGGCTAGTTGTCCCCCTTGACTCGGGGCAAGCTGGACCCACATATTACCCACAAACCTTTGCGCGCAACAGAGCTAGAAACCATTGTTGAAACAAACTCAATGGTTTAAAACTGCATGAATTTGTTACTTTCTTTTAAAACGAACATTTATTATTCGTTTTCATTCATTTAAAACCTGCTTTATACCATTATTAATTTATTCTTAATTAAAACAAAAAAAAAATTTATTGATAGAAATTTTGGTTCTTGCAACACATATAACGTGACGTACGGAAACCTCAATAAATCTGTCTCATTTTAACTATCTATTCACCAAAGACTCTCAAAAATCACTTTAATAAATTAAAAATGTATAAAAATGTATTTCACTTCATTTTAGAATAGGGGGCCAACTTGCCCCGACCGTGGGGCCAACTTGCCCCGTGGCGGGGCAAAATGCCCCCCCCCCTTGACGTCAACTGCGTTTTTTGTCAAATTGTGAGCCATCTGGCATTGTATTTGAAAAATAATGATGTTGTATACGTAGCTTTGTTCATGGGGCTTACTTTGAAACCGGTTTTGTTACTCTAACTCATTCCTAGTTGGCTCTACAAGGCCGAAAGTATCTAACTGGGACAACTAGCCCCGGTCTCCCCTAATGTATGGTGATGTCGCACTGATCCATGTCATCTCTTTAAGAAAATAATAATAATAATGATAATAATGATAATAATAATAATAATAAATACACACATTCAAATGGTTTACTGTAAAAAGGTTTGAAGCGCATCTGTGGGCTATAATTGTCTAAATACTTATCCTATTTATAATCAAGTCAGATTCATATATATCTTATTCAATCATATTATCGTAATTCTTACCTATCGACTGGAAAAGTTTCCTAGTCCACGTTGTATCAAGTATGTCACGCTGTCTCAGCTGATCTGCGACTTGACCACTCGCGATGATACCAAACATCATGACAACATAAGGTACAGCAGAGAATAATCCATTCTGGAAGAGAATCGTGATGCTTCCAGATAGAATTAATGGTCATTTAAATGGCTCAGTTACAAAGCTGACTTACAAGTGAAAGCTGGCTAATACATCTGGCTTGCACCAGTGAAAAATAAAACTACTGTGATGATACATGTAAAAGGCTGAGATGAAAAGGACGTACGAAAATATTGTCTTACGAAAGCAAGCGATGTTCATTAAACTCCAATTGTTATAAACATAAATATATTGTATTTTTTATTTGAAAGTGTCGCCGTATATCTTATATGTTTTAAAATTGACAACACGCAAACGCCTGCTTCTTTTGCTTCTCTTTACAAATGTATTCCAGACAGGAAGAGATCGTTGGGTCGACGGAGAGTTCCTTCTACGAAGAGCCAACACAGGACAAATCTCGCCGAAAGATCAAAAAAGCCCTGACTCACATATTATGTAGCGTAAGGATCGACGTGAAAAGATAAGAGAATTACCTGTTTTATATCAAACGCAAGAACTTCTTTCATATAAATAGGAAGACAGGTCAAACAGGGTGAAAAGACCCCAGTTGTCGCATGTGTGTGCCACTAATATGGCCCACACGGCTGGGGACTTTGCGATTGCTAACCATGGGACTGGTACTTTCTGCAATGAGGGCCATGAGAAACATGGGCCCATTTTGAAAGCAAATGTGATATTTGGAAGAAAAAAGACAAACTTAAAGTTATTTCTGACATACCCATTGGATTGCTGTTTTTTATTATTTTTTTATCTCAACGGAACCCAACTGAGTGCTAATACATGTACTTTGTTTTGGTATTGGCATACTTACAGGGTTGCTACTTAATATGGAATATTTTTTATCACTGTTATTTTTGAGTGCTGATTAAAATTTTTTGGGCTTGAGTCATTAAAAAAGTATGTCAATGAGTGATAATAACATCCAGTCTTCTGTTGTGAGATATTTTGGTCAATAATATCAAATCTGACATAAGATGCCATTCAAAAGAAAGGAACACCCCCAGAAAACCTTATCAACAGTTTGATGTCAGTATAAATTTTAAGATAAGATATTAAAGAAAATGATAGCCTCCGGACAGTGATATGTTACACAGTCAAAGAACTCCCTACAGTTAATCATGAAAAGTCAGTAATTGCGGGTATAACCTCCAGCAGCCGCTTGCAGCGCCCTCA